TTATTTCGAACATGCTTTTGTGTGCAAAATCTGGTCCCCTCTCCATCTCTACCCTATGTGAAGCCCCACCGTCTCTTGCCAGATCTTCTTATAATGGGTCTTCCTGCTTCTGTTCTTGTTCCCCTGTAGTCGCTGACCCCCAACAACTGAAGGGGTCTTTTAAAAACTAAAGTCAAATTTTATCACTCTCCTGCTTGAAACTTTCCAAAGATGGTTGCATTAATGCCCACCCTCTAATGAGGCTGGCGCCTCGGCTCTCTGACCCCACCGGCCATGCTGCCCTCCCTCCCTCTGCTGGCCCTCTGGCCTCTCCTCTTGGACTTGCCCTCTGCAGGTGGTGGGACTTGCCAGCATCCCTGAGTGAAACTCCCCCCACCCCATCACCCGTCAGCTTCAGTGTCACCTCTCCAGCCACCAGTCATAGATAGCCTCCCCTCTCGCTCTACTTAGTTACTTCTATTTAACTGTCATGTTGTTGTCAAAGCACTCAACCACCATCAGAAATCATCTGGCTTGTTTGTTTGTATATGCTTGTAATCCATCTTTCTGTTTTCTAGATTGTGGGTTCCTTGAGGCGGGAGGAACTCCATCTTGCTCCCATCTGTGCCCCCAGATAATGAGTCCTGCACGCGGTGGCTACTTAGTACATACTTGTGGCATGAATGAAGGTCTTGACAGATTCTCACGTATTTTTTTTTCCCCAAGGACCTCTGCTTCATTTTTAAAAAATTTTTATTTTTTTTTTATACAAGTTCTTATTAGTCACCAATTTTATACACATCAGTGTATACATGTCAGTCCCAATCGCCCAATTCAGCACACACACACACACCCCCGCCACGCGGTTTTCCCCCCTTGGTGTCCTTAACGTTTGTTCTCTACATCTGTGTCTCAACTTCTGCCCTGCAAACAGGTTCATCTGTATCATTTTTCTAGGTTCCACATACATGCGTTAATATACGATATTTGTTTTTCTCTTTCTGACTTACTTCACTCTGTATGGTAGTCTCTAGATCCATCCACGTCTCAACAAATGACTCAATTTCGTTCCTTTCTATGGCTGAGTAATATTCCACTGTATATATGTATCACATCTTCTTTATCCATTCATCTGTCAATGGACACTTAGGTTGCTTCTATGTGCTGGCTATTGTAAATAGAGCTGCAATGAATATTGGGGTGCATGTGTCTTTTTGAATTATGGTTTTCTGTGGGTATGTGCCCAGTAGTGGGATTGCTAGATCATATGGTAATTCTATTTTTAGTTTTTTAAAGGACCTCCATACTGTTCTCCATAGTGGCTGTATCAATTTACATTCCCACCAACAGTGCAGGAGGGTTCCCTTTTCTCCACACCCTCTCCAGCATTTGTTGTTTGTAGATTTTCTGATGATGCCCATTCTAACTGGTGTGAGGTGATACCTCATTGTAGTTTTGATTTGCATTTCTCTAATAATTAGTGATGTTGAGTATCTTTTCATGTGCTTCTTGGCCATCTGTATGTCTTCTTTGGAGAAATGTCTATTTAGGTCTTCTGCCCATTTTTGGATTGGGTTGTTTGTTTCTTTAATACTGAGCTGCATGAGCTGTTTATATATTTTGGAGATTAATCCTTTGTCCGTTGACTCATTTGCAAATATTTTCTCCCATTCTGAGGGTTGTCTTTTCGTCTTGTTTATGGTTTCTCACGTATTTTTAATGACAGTGTTATAGCCCATTGCACGGAATTGCTGTGAATATTTAACTGTCTACTTTTGTGGCTTTTTACCTTTTTTTTTTTTAAAATTAATTAATTAATTAATTTGGCTGCATTGGGTCTTTGTTGCTGAGCACAGGCATTCTCTAGTTGCGGCGAGCGGGGGCTACTCTTCCTTGCAGTGCGCGGGCTCCTCACTGCGGTGGCTTCTCTTGTTGTGGAGCATGGGCTCTAGGCATGTGGGCTTCAGTAGCTGTGGCTCACGAGCTCTAGAGCGCAGGCTCAGTAGTTGTGGTGCATGGGCTCAGTTGCTCCATGGCATGTGGGATCTTCCTGGCCCAGGGCTCGAACCCATGTCCCCTGCATTGGCAGACAGATTCTTAACCACTGCACCACCAGGGAAGCCCCTACATTTTTAAATTAAGAAAATGTTTTGATGACTCCGTTTAGCTAGTTTTGGGAGATTTTTATGGATTTTTTATTTTATTTTTATTTTCTTAGGATTGATTCCTAGGTGAGAATTTGTTTACTGAATGGGTGTATGTACAAAATATTAAGGTGTTTAGACCCTCCTGGTTTGTTTCCCCATGTAGTTGAGGGGTCTGGTAGAGCACACTCTCAATGATACTGGAAGGTGGGCTGGGAGGGGTACGGGGTGGGAGTTTTGTCTGTCTTCATTGCTGTATCCCTAGATCTTAGAACAGATGTTCATGTTTACTAAATGAATAAATCAGTTTCCATGAAAAACTCTAGGTATCCGTTCATTTCAATTTATTATTATTCATTTATTTGTATAAGTGTTCCCTGATTTTTAAAATGTATGCTTTTGCAGAGTAGGTCTGTCCAATGTAAGAACATTCATCCAACGTTAAACCTAAGGGAACTGGGTGTTAGCTGGCCTCACCCTATTCCTTAGAATCCAGACAAGGATCCTCTGAGCCCCCTCTGGAGTTGGTGGAAAGTCCAGGATTCTGCCCAGGATTTCCGAGAATCCCAAGGGCTGTGAGACAAAGAGACAATTTCTAACCAGAATTCTTGTCTTCTTCTCCGTGACTTGTGATTGACTGGAGTTTGGTTTTCATCACACCGTCCCTTCTTTATTGCTCCCACATCAGTCACAAGTGCAAGACTAGGTGTGTTGCTCTGAGTTGGTCATTGGAAGAGTTACTGCTTTGTAGACCCTCCATCCTCCTCCGCAAAGGTCCTTTCACCCTTCTGATCACACATCTGCTTCAGCCAGCATCAAGGACGGGCCTGGAGGTGTAGCGCTTTCCTTTAACAGTATCCACCCTCTGGGGGTTGCAGCCGTTGTCCCCCTTCTGCACAGTGGTGTCTGGGAGAATTGCTGATTTGCATTATTTGTCATTGGTGAGAGGGGCAGAGAGTTGGGATGGGGGAGGCAGGGAGACAGAAAAAAATAAGTTCCTCTCCAGCTGTTCCTTTTCCTCATTTCTTCTTCTGAATGATTCCTTATTCCCCCAAGTGAAGTCTTAACCTCTTTGCCTTGCAGATGAGGATTTCATTTTAACCCATGGTTCTCAATTGGTATGCTACGGGCACTAGTGGGTCATAAGCTCTTCCTAGGTGTACTAGGAACTGTCCACAGGTGTGTTGCCGACTTTTGATCCACGTGTAAAAATACTTCAAGTGTGGCATTCCTTGAGCTGAGTAGGCCGTAGGAGCTGTCAAATGATGGCTGTGGGGTACAGCCTGCTATGAGAAACAGAAAAGAGCCTTAGCCTAGATAACGTGCCAAGAAAGAATCCCTGGTGATGGGTGGTGAGCTGAGTGTGTAAGAGAAAGGGGAGGGCACTCAGCACCTGCTTTAAGGACCAAGGGAAGAGCATGTAACCCTGGGAGCTTTGGTAAACCATGTAGTAGGGTCCTGTTTTAGGTTCTGTTTAGTAGGGTCTCTGGCTTGGCTGAATCCTTTCATGAAGGTTGCCAAACATATTAAATCCTGCCAGACTTGAATGCAGGCCTCCTTTGAAAGGGAATTATAAACACACACGTGTTTGTGTCCCTTGCTGTGTTTGCATGTGGGCAGCCTTGTGTCGGGGGTGGATGGTTGGAAGGATGAAGGATCCTGGAAAGTAAAGGTTCTCAAACATGGGTTCTGATTGCCTGTATGTGTGCTTGATCTGGGCGGCTAATTGATAAGGTTCAGCACCCTTTATGCTCCATGTTTTATTTCACCCTGCCTTTATCTCCTTTGACAGGACATAACCTACAGATCACTTAGGGTTTCTTTCCCTCACCTATGTCTTGACTAAACACATTGGGTAGATGAATTTACTGTTACTTCTCTCTTGCCCCTCAGCACTTGGGTCCCCAAGGGATCTTGAACTCTACCTACCACCTGTCAGCTCTACACTGATAACTCCCAAGTCTCTAGCCCAGACTAGATCTCTCTCCCATTTATCTATTTAGTCATCTCTTTTTTTTCCCACCTAGTTGTTTCACAGGGCACCTTGAATTCAACCGAATCCTCTGTTTCAATTTATGTTAAGACTTAGTGACCCAAACTGGAAATCTGAGAGTTATCCTGGACTTCTGCCTGCCCTTCCCCCTAAGCCATCTCATCTCTCCTGAATGTCTTAGCCCTCAGACTAGACTTCTTCTGGCATGGCACCATCACAGGGTCCTGTGCTATCGTCTGCCCATCACTCTCAGTAGACTGTCAGCATATTCATGTCTATATTTCACGTCCAAGCTCAATGCCCATAGGAGCTGCTTAGAAAATATTGGAATGAATAAATAAGCAGGTGGATGGGATGAATGAATGTTTTCTGAGATGTTTTGGGGTGATTTCCGTTTAGGATGATGCTTTTTATTTCTTTTTACTGGAATGAGACATTATTTTTGTTTGCCAGCACCAACATTTTGAAACCGTAATTTTGAGGAAATATTTTACCACGTGAAATTCCTCTCAGGCCACACACACAAATATATTAACTTCAAAGGAGGAATTATTTATGAAATTTATGGTATGTTATTGCACTTGGTCATTTATCTAGGTGGTTTCGTGTGTGCGGTTGTGTTCTTGGTACAGCTGGGAAATATTTACTGTCTGTGGCAGGAATCATTGATCTGCATGACCTAGTTTGGATTAAACTTGAGCTTAATTAACTTGGATGCTCTAAATGTCTAGGGTTGTAGGCTTTCAGAGCTGGAATGTTGCTTTTTGAACTTCAGCGTAAGGAAGCCTATGCGTAAAGAGTAATCATTGACTTTGCATGTTGGCTGAGAGAACGATCGATTGAAAGTCCATTTTGTAAACTATTTTTTTTTCCCTCTCCAACAGGGAGAGTCCCGTATCCTCAGAGTGAAGGTTGTTTCTGGAATTGATCTCGCCAAAAAGGACATCTTCGGAGCCAGGTATGTTTGCTTTGTTATCTGGTAGGCTTCTGGAGAGAGTTTAAGCAAGCGCTTTTCAAGTTCAGGTGCATCGGAATGACCCGGGTGGGGCGGGGGCGGGGCGGTGCTTCTTAAAGCAGAGATTGCTGGGCCCTGCCTCCCGACATTCTGATTGAGTAGGTGATGCTCACGCTGCAGCTGGTTCAGGGACCACATTCTTGCAGGGGTGTAGACCTTGTGTAACAGCGGCGGTTAGCAGGCTTGGCCTTCCTACGGGTTGATTTCATGAGGAAATTAGATTCAGATGTTTCTGTTTTTCTGCAGTAGAAAAATAAGTTTGAGAACATGTCTGTGTTCATTTTAATATATTCCTGTTTTTTGGTTTTTTTTGTTTTTTTAAAAAAAACAACCCTAGCTGAGGGAAACAAAGTATTGTTTTGTTCCTGGGAGAACTGGATATTTTTTGGCATGTGTAATTTTGGAATTAAGAGACTTGGTGATTTCTGTGGCATTTACAGAAGCATTCACAGCCTAATCATTCTGGCTGTTTTAGCTTTTTTATTTTGCGTGTAGCACCTGGTATCCCTGTATCTTTCAGTCAGCCCTACTGGCTCTTGACAGTGTGTTGCCTTAAGTTGCTGGACTGGTAGCAGAGTGAGGATTAGAGCTACGTGGAACTAGGATTTGAACCAGATTTCGGGGAAGAAAGCCCTTTTGAATTTTTGACCTAAGGGATATATTAGAGATGATGTAGTCCAACTTCTCTGTCGAATGGAAACAGGAAAGGTTACTATTTAAATCCAGTCACTCATGAAGCCCCCGGTCCCTGCTCAGCGCCCTCTTCCAGTTGGGTACCTGATGGGGTTGAACCAGAGGGCCGTGCTGGCCGCTAGAGTCACCACATTGGAACACTGGGTCATCCCGTGAGTCTCCGGGACCATTGCCCGTAGTGATGCTCGGGTTCAGGGCCTCAACCTGACACTGGAGACCCTGAGTGATGAGGCCTCATTCTGTCCAGCTAACCTCATCCTCCCAGCACTGCGCAGAAGCCCTTGTCTGCCGTTGGTCGGCACACCTCTTTTATATTGTCCTGTTACCATGCCCATTTTGAGTTTTGTCTAGCAAAGAAATCAGTAAGCTACTAATGTGATTTGCATTAACGAGCAAAAATAAATCCAGGCATATCTCACTTTGTTGCGCTTCCCAGGTACTGTTTCTTAACAAATGGAGGGTTTGTGGCAATCCTGTGTTGTCAGACGACGGTTGACACTTTTTAGCAAGAAAGTATTTCTAAGTTAAGGTATTTACACTTTTAAAAAAAGACATAATGCTATTGCACATCTAATAGGCTACAGTATAGTGTAAACATAACATATATGCACTGGGAACCCAAAATTCGTGTGACTCGTTTTATGGTGATATTCGATTTATTGTGGTGCTCTGGAACTGAGCCTGCAGTATCTCCGAGGTCTGCCTGTAAATGAGTAAAATGGACCACATTCAATATCAGGGAAATATTTTTTGAAATTTCTGATGCTTACGTCTGCCCCAAATGACTAACTGAGGGTTAGCTTTCTTAGTTGTGTCACTGGGAAACTGCATGCTTTGGGGCACTGCCATCAGCCTGAGCTGCAGGTGATGGGGTGGGGAGGGGCACGGGAGGCACATCCCACCTGCAGGTTCTTTCTCATTTGACTGTGAGGCCACCCTGAGCGGCTTACCATGCGCCTGCGCTAATGCTCTAGCATTTCACTTGCCTCTTACTAAATTAGACGTTTATTGGAGACAGAGACATCTTTTTAACATCTTTCTTCTACTGCTTAACACACAGAGCGCCACGAACAGGACTGGGTCAGTTGGTTTTTAAATTTCAATGTTTGCACGCTGGCTATAGTAGACTGTACTCTTATGTCAGAAATGCCTGTTGCTCTCACTGGCTCTTTGCATCAAATGTTAGAGTTTGGAAGGAAGAATTTGGATTTGGAATATTATAGTCACTTTTCCTTCGATTCATTTTTGTTTTGTTTTGTCCAAAACTCTTCATAAAAAAAATGAAATTGATTCAGATTGTGTTTCTTAGCCTCTTCAGAAGCTCTGAGGTTAAGATTGGTTATCGGAATTGGGCTCCAAATCGTAAAAGAGCCGAGCAGATCTGAATTGTTACCATTTATACGAAAAGAGGAAGAGTCATTTCTTTGGGGCAGGGTTGAGAGGAATTATAGATAATGCCTCAGGATGTTCAGTGGAAAGAGAAATAGTGTTGTGGCTTCATGAACCGAGTGCCAGAAAATGAGCCAGAAGCTCTGAATCTGTGTTCTGCCCTTCACTGTCTTAGTTTAATAAATTCAACACACACACCCCTGCCTGCCTGCCTCCCTCCCTCCCTCTCCCCCTGTCTCAGGGGCCAGAGTGCTCAAAGGACCCGTTTGCCAGTGAGTGGGTGCCAGTTGGAGGGTTAGGTGACCATGCAGCGTCCCGCCGCACTGGTATCTCCCTGGAGAGTGGCGCCGGTTCCTGCCTCGTTATTTTGCCTAGTGACCCGCGGTCTCTTCCACGTTGTCTCGTGCACATCCTTTCAACCCACCTGTGTCACAGTACGGTAGCAGAAAGCAAGGAGAGCAGTTTTCTCGTCACCGGCGGGCGGGGTCAGGGAGAACCCCAAGATGGCTCTGGTTGGCTGGCAGCGCTCACGTGTCCTGGGGGAGCAGCCGTGAGTGCGGCAGCTGTTGTAATGTCTTCTGCGCTGTCCCCTGGAGTGAGACCCTCCTCCCCGTGTCCTTCCGAACCACAGGCCGGCGGGCCCTCCTTCTCCCCCAGCCTGTCACTGAATCTTCCCTCCACCTCTGTGTCTTCCAGGACCCTGATTCTCCCTTCACAGAAGGAGGGCTGGGTGGGCACTGGGAGCCCTGATGGATGGAGGAGGAAGGACAGTCTTCCTCAGCAGCAGCGTCAGGCACTTGGAAGTGGTGGAAATCATATACAGGCTTGGATGTGTTGGAAGACGGATTTACAGTCTCTGGAGTCAAAGGAGGCTGCCTGGGTCACGTGGCCTGAGGGTGGGGGAGGGCCGGGCATGTTGGTCGGAGTAGGCGATGCTGGAGGGTAGAGCAGTGCACTCCTGGGTGGGCTCCTTGCCCCACAGAGGCTGCCTGAGGCTCCAGCTCTGAGGACTGGCATCTGTGGGGGCGGGGGGGGGGCCCTGGCCTCTAGGCCTACCTCTCACGAAGGGGACTGGATCAGTTGGTCTCACGAAGACCACCCTTTTCCAAAACAGAAGTGGGTACGTTCTGTATGCAGTGTTTGTAACATGATATTACTTCCCTTTTGACGTGTTATTGGCATTTTACACATGGCCTACCTTTTTAAAGAGTCTGATTTTCTTTTGCCCAAGCTTTAAAAAAAGAAAGAAACTTTCCACTCACCGTGCACCTGAAATGCCCTTCTCCTTACCTGCTCCCTCTGTCCCAATCCAGTGCTGAGGACACAGGATCACTTTCCAGCTTCCATCCAGCAAAGTCTCACTTTATTAAAAGAGTCTTTATTGTTGGGAATGTCCTGGCGGGGTCCCATGGTTAGCACTTGGCACTTTCACTGCTGGGGCCTGGGTTCGATCCCTGGTCGGGAAACTAGGACCCCACAAGCCTCGCAGTGCAGCTATTTAAAAAAAAACAAAAAAACAAAAACCTTTATTGGAAGAAGATTTGATAATTGAGCTGTTGCTCCCCTGGAACTTCTCAGCAGTCGGTCTGTGTGGAGAATTGCCGCAGTAGAGAAAGATGTTATCTTTTGGACCCTACCTTCAGGTGGAGGAGGGCAATCCTATAGTCTGTCATCTAAACAAGGGACACTTTTGTTTGCAACACATGCTGAATCAAATGGGATGTCAGGACATGGGATGTAGATGGAGACGGTGGTCACCTTGGGTCAGAGGCACCCAACTATTAAGATCCATACTGTGAAAAAAAATGCTGTGCAAGGGTTTTGAGCGTTTGTTGTTGCTGTCTTAAGCTTGGCCAAAAGAAAATCAGACTCTTTCAAAAAGTAGGCCATGTGTAAAACACCAATAACACATCAAAAGGGAAGTAAAATCATGCTGGAAACACCGCATACAAGAGGGGTACCCACTTCTATTTTGGAAACAGGTTGTCTTCGTGAGACAAAGTGCAGCGTTAGGGGATCAAGGTGACACCGCCACCTGGGAGGTCCCTTGGATGCTGTGCTTGTGGATGGTTTGTCGCTACTCGCTTTCTGATGACCCACCGACATGTCCACACCTCCCACCCTCCAGCCTGCTGCAGAGCGTTGGAGCTGAGGCGCAGACCTAGCCAGATGAATCCCCTCATCCCCTCCTTGCCTGGTTTGATCTGCATTTGCCTGTGGGATGAAATCCCAGTTTCCTGTTAAGGTGGAGGTTTCACATCCCTTTGTAACGCAGTGTGCCACGCCCTCTCTGGTTGGTTTGCCTCCCCCTCTGGTTCCACCCTGGCCACTGCCTGCTTCACAACCGCGCCCCGCCCATCCCTACACACAGCACACTCTGCCTTTGCTCCCTCCGCCCCTCTGCACCCCTGGCCTCACCCTCACCTGCCAGGCAGCTCCGCGGGTCATCTCCTCTGCTGGTCCCTCCCAGTTCCCCAGCAGATCACTTCCTGTCTTTCATATGCCCTGCAACCTGGAAATATTATGTGTCCCTCTGTTGTTGTTTTATGATTATAACTATTTCTTTCTCCCAGACTACATTTTTAGCTTCTGACAGCTAGCGTTTATTTTATTTATTTTTTACTCTCTCTGCCTTACACGATACCAGCACATCGTGGATTCTCAAGAAATATTTACGGAAAGAGGGAACGATGACCTCATCTCTTCCCCCCTTCCCTCCTTTTCCTGCCTCTTCACTGAAAACTCACCTTCCTCTAAGTGTGCCGTGGAACGTGCTGCTTCTTGCCTTTGCGGGTGTTTCCCCCTCTGCTCGGAGTCTGCTTACATTCTTTCTGGCACTGCTCGCCCAGCTCTCCAGGTCC